ATAATTATCTAACTAAATAATGCTTACAGTCCTGTCCTGTGGCTTGGAAAGGTCAAAATTTCTTGGGAGAAGACCAGCAACATAGCATGTATTGAAGTACTCATGAGCATCAGAGAGGCAACTGAATCCCTGCTTGCTTATGTTAGCAAGAATCTAAACAAAAATATATATAGTGCATGAGAACTTTAGATTGGAATTTCAGCAAAAATAGGATTTGCCAAAGAGGATGTTACAAACACCATGATTTTCATTTTTTCTGTTTTTTTTTCCTTTTCTTCACACTTATACATGTGTTGAAATATCTGTGGGAGTAGCCACTGTTTATGCATTGTGAGTTGTGGGCACCAGGTTGTGGGTAGCACTAGATTGGCAATGAGTTCTTAGTGAGGCAACAATGAGCTCTGATCTGAGTTAAACTATTTTATACCATTTACAACAGTTGAAACTTTGTTCCTCAGCAATTGCTAGCTGCATCTGTTTTACCCTGAGAGATCAATTGGTTTCTCCTATGCTAAACAAGAGGGACTTGGTGTAGGAGAACTTGACCAAGAGGCTTACAGGGTAGTTGCCTTTCAGCGTCATAGAAAAATTGTCAAATGTGAATTAACATTTAATTCTGTGCTTGAGATTGTGATCAGTTTTTCTTTAATAACCTCAATGAGCGGTATCCAGTCAAGTCGCCAACAGTTTGACCCACCAACACCAACTTGCTGACATATGAAATGGAGTAGAGACATCTGTGAGTTGGTCTTCAATCCAGTACAACTAGTTAGAAGTTAAACATATAGAAAAGTAAAAGATCTTTAGTGAAAAACAATTTCTTTTCTTCCAAAAAAGTTTATAAGGATCTCATGACAAATAAAGCAAGGTGAACATCGTCAATGACTGTGAAAGCTTCAGACGTGAACAAGTTATTGTGTGACAACAACACTGTAAAGAATCATCATGTCAATTGGTCAGATTTTTGAAAAAAAACTTGGCTTTCTAGATAAGATCTTCAGTAAAAAAAAATCATCTTTATTTCCAACAAAGTTTATAAGGATCTCAAGGTGATTAAAGCAAGGTGAACATCACTAATGACCAAAAAAGCTTTAAATGCAAATGTGTTATTGTGTGACAACAACACTGTAAAGATTCATCATGTCAATCAGTCAGATTTTTTAAAAAAAACTTGGCTTTCTTGACAAGATCTTTAGTATTGTTTTTTATCAAAGATCTTGTCGAGAAAGCCAAGTTTTTTTTAAGAAATCCGACCGATTGACATGATGATTCTTTACTGTGTTGTTCTCACACAATAGGGCATTTGCATCTAAAGCTTATTTGGTCATTAGCGATGTTCACCTTGATTTATTCGCCTTGAGATCCTTATAAACTTTGTTGGATATAAAAATAATTTTTTCTACCAAAGATCTTGTCTAGAAAGCCAAGTTTTTTCCAAGAAATCTGACCAATTGACATGATGATTCTTTACAGTGTTGTTGTCACACAATAACTCGTTCGTGTCTAAAGCTTTTTTGGTCATTGGTGATGTTTACTTTGTTCTATTCCCCTTGAGATCCTTATAAACTTTGTTGGAAGAAAAAAAATTGTTTTTTTACTAAAGATCTTTTACTTTTCTATATGTTAAACTTCTAATAAGTTGTACTGAATTGAAGACCAACTCACCTATGCCTCTACTCGATTTTATACGTCGGCAAGTTGGTATTGGCTAGTTGAACCATCGATGACTTGACTGCAATTCTGATGAGCAATCTACATTTTGAACCAATGACAACACAAGACCTAGTAGCCACAAACCACAGCCAACAACCTGATACCCACAACCCACAAACACCAGCTACAGTACTCTCAACTTGCTTCCATGATTGTTCAGAATTTGAAATCTTAGAAAGAGGAAATCAATATACACTCTTTCATATAAAAGCACTTTCTCCTTTATGTGCTGAATCTATAGTACCTATATAATACACACTACAGTACCTTTTTTTTTCAATAAAAATAATAAGAGCTAATAACCTTCCATACAACTGCAGAGAAACACTAGGACAATTTGTAGCTAATACAATAGCAAAAACAAAACCTCCATGAAGGTTGCACAGGATAGAGTTCACACCAAAAGTAAAAGGAATTTTAAAAAATAGGACACCTGTTGGAAGACTACTTCAAAGATGCCCTCAACAATCTCCCAACCATCAGTTACAGAGTCTGCCCTAAAGGAAGTTACTCCAAACAAATATGAAATCATTAAAGCCATGAAAGAAAAGGTAAAGCTCCACACCAAAACAACTTAAGAGCAGAGATTTCTAAAGGTGACTCTAAGCTTTCAAAAAAGATTCTGCAGACATGCTTACAATGGCGATGGTGGCAGTGGAAGAACCAAATTACTAGGAATAAAGATAAGGACATAACCAGCCACCAGAAAGGAAAATGGTTCCATTACCAAGACAGCAATACATTTGAAACCCAAAGGTTGGCACAAGCATGGTAGGACTACCACTAATTAGCATTTTTTGACAGCTGAAATAAAACCCATAATCTGGCCAGTGGCAGACAGCAGTGGAAGACCATTGTTGCTGCCTCAAATGCCAGTAATGCCAATGGGCAAAATGAGCATCGAGTGAGTCAATACATCTTCTCACCTGACGTTGAACTCCCAGGAATTTGGAGTGCACAAGTCCTGTCTCCAACAAACAACAAGTGTCTGAAATAATAATACAAAAATCAAAAATTGTTTGGGATATTAGGAAACAAATAAGAGTTTTGAAAAGAAAAACAAAAACAAATTGTAGACTAAATTGCATGAAAAATCAGCTAATGGAAGAAAGCATAGCAAGAAATAGGATATGTATCATCATTACTCCTGGTTAGGCCAACCCTATATTGTTTGATAAGTGTGTAATTCACTACATCAACATGTTCAAGAATTCCTCATTTCAATTGTTCATGTGTGTAAACAGAATTAACCATAGAAAGATGCAAGAATTTGACAAGGATATGGAAAATGAAAAAGAAGTTTTTTGTCTTGTTGTGAGTCCTATGAGGAGTTGGACCTCAGACCTTTGAAATTAGCACTTCAATGCTCTACCACTGAGCCACAGAAACTCTTTGGTAAGCAAGGTCATCACAGGGTCCATATGTATTCTCATTTGCAGCTCACTGCAAGGTTGTCACTAAGAAGTCTTAGTGCATGAAAAATACCAGAACACCAAACAAAAGAAACTCCTAACCAAATTTTAGAGATGCTGGCCACATGTGCTCCTCAAGTGTTGACCCTGCAGTTGATAAAAAGCTGCCCATGGACTTAGCATTTACAAACACATCCTTAAACACAAAAAAAGAAAACAAAAAAAAATGAACTGGGAGAGGTAATTAGCCTGAAGTAATGTAGTAATCTGGCAAACCTCACCCACTACCCTCTATTATTATCCTACCTGCACATAAAACACAAGAACCCGGCACTAAAAGGGATCAAGTGCCTTATACCCAGTACAGATGAGAATATTAAACAAATTCTCTTGCCATCTGCTGGTAAGTTAACCAGTTTTTGCATTGCAGTACAATTCAGAATAAGAAAGAAAGCAATTTGGCTATATTTGAGAAATCTTAGTCTAAAGATCTATCAAAAAGTTACTTCCCACCTTCACAGCTGTCCTTCGGGAAAAAATTTGTACATGCACTAGTTTCACTAAAAAACCTAGCACACTACATATCAGAAGAAAGTTTAATAACTGTAGATTACGATAAAAAAATGTAATATAAGAACCTTTCCTTTTAAGGAAGTGTCAGGAGCCGGTAAGGCATGAAAGGGAAAGGTTCTTCTATTAAATTCATTGGGTATTGCATGCTGCAGCATAAGCAAAATGGCTGCACAATCTTATTCAAAAGGCATCAATTGACGAAAGAGTGTCAGGCTTTTCAATATTCTGATTGGTTGTTGAGATATTGGCATCTAAAGTTGGAGTAGCTAAAAACATGCAAGGCATGTTGTGTAAATGGACACCAAGGGACAAATATGTGAAAAATCAAAATTTCCTGACACACTTTCATTTTTCATTATTCCTGGAATGTTTTGGCAAAACTTGATGAAAATTGGTCAAATCTATATACCCTACAAATTTGCTCAAAGTGTTTGTATTCTTCTCAAAATCAAATGTGAGACTTTAGCTCATAAAGGTTTGCAAACAACTTGCACCACTCCAGGAGACTATCTTGCCTCCTGAAACTGCAAACCAATGGGACAACTAGACCTCCTCGAGTCAATGATGATGGATCTTGATTTCTCGGGAAGAGTAACCCATTGCAGACATTTCTTTTTATCTCGATCACTCAGTAGAGCGTTGAGGTGGACGACACAATAATGAGCAAAGTTGCTAAAGGCAAAGGCAAAACCCATGACAAAAATGGAAAAATTATTTGAAAATACATTTTTCTAACTAACTAGGGTGCTTTGAAAGATTTCAGAATTCTTTATGAAAAGAATTGGTGGAATGCTATAATTCAGATTAGTCAAATAAAAGAAATATCAATTTTTTTCTGCCTCTGAAGGTGGGAAGTAACCTTAAAGGGATGCAGAAACTTTAATATCTACCATGATTAGCCTGTAGCCTTTTTATGGAGCGCATAATGGTTGTACAATACATTTATTTTGTTTTAAAGGATTAAAGGATTAAGTTGAGGGATCATTCATTACACTGCATGACAGATCAAAATTTTTAATAACAAAATGTTTAACCCCTTCTTCTTTCCATCTCATCCAAAATGAATGCCATAGCAAAGAGATGATAGAGACAACTCTGGGATTCAGAATGGTTCATTTGATAAGTCAAGTAGTGAATCAGTAACATACCACAATACCATCCGGTGATGCAGCATCTAAGATGTCAGCCAGCGAAAAGAAAGCAAAAAATGGACATGTTGGATCCTTACTACCAAACATAGCATCTCTGACCACAAGGAAATGAAATAGAAAGAAGCATTTATGATTTCAATGGAATAAATAAACATTCATAATACTTCTGTAACTTTGTAACACTTATAGAATCAAACTATATTTCACACTCATGATGACACTTTTTAAAGACCTAAAAAGAATTGAACTGTTCAATAAGGGCCTGGAAGTACTGTAAGCTGCAAAAATGCCTCAAAGAAGAAAATCAAGTGGATTCAAAGTTTGCATAAGCTTGTGTCCTGCTGAATGGCAGTAACCATATAAGTCTTAATTTCAGAAAAAGATCAGAAGATTTCAATCCCCTTCTTGTTGATAACATACAATGTACATAACAAGCCATGGGGTACTCCTATTTAATTTGTCCACCTCATGCCAGGTGGCTGTTCTACTAATCTTAAGCTGTAACCATATCAGATAACTCTAACCTAATGGACGGGGGCATTTGTGAATGGTACCAACAATTAATATCAAAGATCCCCAAATGACATGTGGGCCTGGATTGTGGATCCTGTGCAGGAGCTTCCCAAACACATACAGCCAGAGTAAGATCCCTAAAATGTTCCACTGAAACAAAGATATAATACAACTAACTCAGCCACCCCAAATTAAGCTAAAAAACACTTAATAATTGAGCGCACAGTAGTTTTACTCTTGAACCCATTCTACCTAGTCTAGGATTACATCTTAACTCACTCTAAAAAAAAGCTGGAAGTTTCATTTTTAATTAAGGCATTTGTGAGCTTGAGCTTGACATTTATGGCAAATAAAAAATTAATTAAAAATGTTCAGGTTTTAACCTGGTTTTCTTCTCTTTCGCTAATGCATATTCTCTAAATCAACCCAGTATCCTAGCACACTGAATGCCCTTTATCTGTCACAAAAAGAGTACAACAGTACTCAATTGACAACCCACTGAAACACTTACAAAAGGATCATATTCAAGGCAGCTGTAACAAAAAATAAAAATGTTGCTGGCATTCTTAACATGTATCTTGATTTCAAAGGAACAACATTGGGAAAGAGAGAAAAGGTGGGAGGAGGGCTGGGTGAAGGAGAAAGCTGGTGCTTCATTTGGCAACAAACATACAACTGGGTAACATGATCAAGTCTGTTATCCTAACTCGAGCCCCCTATTCAGTGTGTGAGAACCTCCTTTCCTTTCCCTTTTGTAACCTCAGCTGGCTAGCAAAAGTTAAAATTGTTCCAAACAGTTCAGTGAAATTTTTGTATTTCAAGAACGCAAAGAAACTCAAACGTGTTGTAAAAGCAAAATGATTGCATAAAATAAACTTAGTTTTTTTAGGTGTGATTTATTTCCCTGGATAATTTGGTAGAAGATCAGAGGTTATGTAAGAACAGTTTATCATTATCTTCATGGTTAGGTAAATCTAGAAGTTTCCTCACTGTGAAAGTTACACTACAACTATGCCTGACTACCTCTCTCCAATTAATCTTAAAACTGTCTCCTTGACTCTTGTTTTACTTGAACACCTTTGTACATACATCAGTGAGAATAAAACTTCTACAAGTATTTCAAGAAAGCAAAAGACTAGGAAGATCTTACTCTCAGCACCTGCACTCTCATCCACCCTCAGACTGTCCAATGCACTAGAACCTTTTTCTAAAATAGAAAGAGAACTATTAAACATGTGACAATCATAAATGTCCAGTATATGTAGAAATGTGAAATTAAAATGCAAGAGTGCCATTAGATCAGTGGGAAAGTGTTATAACTTAGGGTTTATTCTATTGCCTTGGAATTGATTATTACCATGGTTTGGTAAATGTTGTGGCTCAAATTTTTCTTGATTCAAAATGTTTCATACAAGTTTAACTTGTCTTTCCTTTTGTTTCAGACTGTGATCATGAATACAAGACACAGGAAAATAGAAATCAAACTGGTATGAAAAATGTCACTCATAAAAGAAAGTAAAACTTGGAAGTCTCTCCCTACCTAAAGTGTAACAGCACACAATTTTACTTCCCACTGATGTAGCATCAGCAAGATGATGAACATCAGAAGTAAGCTGATGTTCAAATCTCCGACCAACACCACCAAGTTCCTAAAGGGAAACAATTACACAGAATTCACTATCTTGTAAAGACACATTCTAGTGAAAAAAAATCATACTCTGTTACCCTCCAACTGATACACCAATCATCAGTGACAAATCAAACCTACCTAAAGAGTGACCATCATGATTGTCACCAGTCATCAAATCTTACTAAAGTTCTAAGGAAACTCTTGGACTGTACGTACCTTGTAGATCACCCCATAACCTGTCAGTATATCTCTTGAGGCAAAAACCAATTGATATAAAGTCAGTGTTGCTGGAGTCTCTGGACAGTTTTCTAATACAAGTGGACCACGAGCTACCCATAAGTAACAGCAATAACGTGGATCATTTTCTGGCTCCTATTAGTGGCAAATTAAAAAGAAAATAAACAAAAACAAAAAAAAAACAAACACAAATAGAAAACTCAATTACAGGCCTTTTGCATCAAATTGTGACAAGACATCCTTTTCATAAACATAAAAAACATAAACAGATCTAGGAAAAGAAAAAGCATGTCACCCTGTATTTCTATATCTGAGGAAATTCACATGTTTAAAAAACATATTTTAAGGCAATCTGGGATGAGTGAATCAAATAACAAATTGTACTTTCCCCTATTGACGTTATTTTGTTTATGAAAAATTAAAAAAATAAAATAAAATAAAATCTAACATCACTAGATAATGCACCTGGTACATGAAGTGTGTGACAGCTGAATAATACTGCCCAACCTGGCTACTGTAACTAGAACCAAAACAAAAACGAACAATTTCACAACAAAGACCACTAAATACTGCAAGAAGCTAAATAATGTAACAGATTACTTACTTCAAGTTCATTAAAAACACAGTGAAAACAGGCATCAGTTAGAACTTGGAATCAATGACTATTCCAGTGAAGTAAGGCTGCAAGCTCAACATTTTTCAAAGTTGCCAATAAGTTGCCTAAAACCATAACTTTGTCACCAGTATTAAAATTTAACTACCATAAAAAAACCAAAAATCAATCTGAAAGAATGTTAAATCAATGGAAAATTTTTATAAATCAAACTTTGTCTTTTTTGTTTTACTTTATTTTGTTTTTAAAAGCCTTGAATTTCTTTACTCCTCCTTTTTCTTCCTTCAGCAGATTTCATTGAACTCCTCACCTTCATATTTTTTGCATGACAGGGGTTGCATCATATTTTCCTTGGAAATTTTGTGCTGGACATTGGAGTGTAACTGCCTAAAATTGATTCATTTGCCCAAGATATGCATTTGACAGCTGTGATCAGTCACATGGCTTTTGGATATTTGTGCAACAACCAAAATTAATTATAAGAAAAAGACAAAAGGGGAGTAATTGTATGAAAAGGTTTATTTCACATTTAGTTCAGACCATTAGTTGCACTATGCTGCACAATTGTCACACAAAATCTGACAAATGGTTAATTTGTTAACAGTAAATTTCATTCAATTTCTGATAGTCAAAATAGAAAGATTGGTCATGAGAGGTCAGTTGGAGCAGTTAAGAACTAGTATTTAAGTTATACTTACCATGTACAGTATATAGCATAATTAGAGAAAAATCATAGAACAACTTAGCTTACACATGTGATAGAGTTTCCATATTCCACATTTGAAAGCACCCAAAGTTGAATCCCACAACCAAGGTGCTTGTTTGTCTTACATACTTGACTGCTGTCACAAACACATCACCTGACCCAAACAAAACATAAATACTTCAATAATATTTATTCATATTTTCTACCTTTTTTTTGTTTTGTTATAGCCAATTGGACTCATCAGGGCATTCTAAGATGTATGTTTCTTTTTACAGGATTGTATATAAATTCACTGTTCATAATCTGGGAAATTCTAACAGAAAGCTCAAAATACCATAAATGGTTCTAACAGAAAGCTCGCTATTTTTGCCAATTACTGCCAATGATTGCAACTGAAGAAAGTTAAAAGTTTGTCAAAAATGTTTGAAAGTAAACACCGCCAGGAAGAAATGATCCCCTGGGGTACAATTATGATCAACAAAGACAAAAGGCCATTCAACCTTGTTTGTACTTAAATAGATACAAAGATATTTCTTCTAAACAGCTGTTGAATGACATTTTAAAAAAATGTGCTTTTAAACATACTTTTTGTTAAATTCATGTTTATGTTACTTGCCCACTCTGAAGAAGTTTCTTTCAAGAAATATTTCACTTTATTTAATGGGTAACACATGTAGGAGGGGAATGGTGCATGTTTGACTATTAGGATGGCAATAGTACCTATTGAAAGAAAGCTTCACTTTTTTCTAGCCCATTTTAACATACCTGAAAACAAGCTTTTTAACTCAGTAAAGTCACAACTCACATATGAAAATCTTCCAAAGGTGTGGCAACAACCTGAGATGAAATGAAAGTTAAGTCATGATAGAGCAATAAAATAACCATCATCTTTGCTATGAACTATGTGTAGTAATCTAATGCAGGCAAGGTGAACTAGTGAGTAAGATACATGCCTACATTGAAACATGTGTCAGGAGAGTCCACTTACAAGTAACATATCAATATGGGTCAGGCAGATTGAGCTGAAAAAGTCAATGAGTTACTCCTAAATGCAATAGAGTGAAAAATTAGAAACCTCTTAAATGAAGCTGTTTTGGGTAGATAGAATAAGACCAAAATATATTAAAGTTAACATAGCAACCAGCTAGATAATCACACATGGTTTGATGCTACTCTGGTTTACAGATTTAATGAATGTAACCAAAGAAGTTACAATTCATTGACCCAACATTGCAACACTCCTGTCTAGTGCCTTCATCAGGGGTGATCTAAACGCTGCAACAAGAGGTCCTTTTATATGATCACTATTTAGCTGCCTTTTTTCTGACGAGGTGTAAAATAGGCTTCAGGAAGTAAGCCGCCATCATCACGATTTAAAGGAGCATGGGTGGAGTTAATATGCCAAGCTTCCAAACAAAGGCGCTGGTGATAATTTTAGACTCATCCCACTCAATTATATTGTTAGTTAAGCATGTGTGCTCTGATAGAGCTGAATTTTCTTTTTTGCCAAAGAAAACTACTTTTTGATGCTCTTTCAAACGTGTAGCAAATTTACGTTTGGTCTGTCTGATGTATTCGTTGTCACAGTCATTACAAGGAATAGAATAAGTGGGGTTGGTTCATTGTTCTTGAATGACAGGATCCTTAGGTTTGGCAAAAATTTGCCCCAAAGTCTGAAAAAGTTTTTGAGCAACTTTAACATTATGGCTATTCAAAATTCTCTTGATGTGTTCCATAACACCCTGAATGGAATTACGGTCAACTCGCCGACGGACCAACTCGCCGACGTATAAAATCGAGTAGAGACGTCGGCGAGTTGGTCTTCAATCCAACACAAATTATTAGAAGTTAAACATACAGAAAATTAAACGATATTTAGTAAAAAAAAAACACTGGTGAACATTGGTGAACATCATACAGAAGCTTAAACATTGGTGAACATTGGTGAACATCACCAATGACTAGAACAGCTTAAGACGCGAACGAGTTATTGTGCGACAACAACACCATAAAGACTCATCATGTCAATCGCTCAGATTTTTTAACGAAAACTTGGCTTTCTAGACAAGATCTTAAGTAAAAAGCAATTCTTTTTATTTGCAACAAAGTTTATAAGGATCTCAAGGCGAATAAAGCGAAGTAACATCACCAATGACTCTAACAGCTTAAAACGCGAACGAGTTATTGTGTGACAACAACACTGTAAAGACTCATCATGACAA